AGGCAGGAACAGCTATTGTGTCGTGTTAAACAATTATATGAATGAATTACTAAGTTAAATTTTTTTTTAAGAAAAAACTATATATTTAGTTTTCCTAATATTGAGTGAGAGTTTATTACTGTAAAGCCAATTAGTAATTGTATTTATACCTGTCTGTGCTGATAAGAATACATCTGTCCATGTATTTAAATTTGTATTACGATAAAATTTAAATGCAATAGTGCGTTGAATGAAACAATTTTTACGGATTTTATCGCGTTTAATTTTACTCATTTTTAATACCCGACGTTGTTGAACTTTACTTATTACCTCAGCCCTTTCGTAAATATGGGTGCTGCAAAGTACCCGAAACGTCAGAAATTAAAAATAAGTAAAATTACACGCGGAAAATTCCGTGAAAATCGTTTTTTCAATGTGTAGTGTTCGCGTAAATATAAGAAATCATCATCGCATATTAAATAGCACGTGTAACAACAGTAGTTTTTAGATTTATTTTGGTTTTTAGCGAATGAAAATTATGTAAAGTAGGTATTTGTTGCTTTAAAGTATAATAGTCAATGTCCTCCCCTGGTATCGTACCAGGAACGCTGGCTGCGTCTCCTCGCTGAATGCCTATACTTAGCATTTGAGCGATAAAAAGCCAGCCCTATTATCACCAGCAGCAGCGACCAGCCACGGATGGAGGTCTCTTAGGAACTTCACCGCACGTGGACCCACGGACCGATAGTCTCTACAGCAAATGGCACAAATATGTAGTCATCTCCTAATAGTGTCATACTTAATTGAATAGACCTATACTCCTATACCTCAAAACCTTAAAACGAAATTGTACAACCAGTGCGTGTTGCCAGTGATGACTTACGGAACTGAGACGTGGTCCTTCACTGCTGGCCGTATGAGGAAGCTCAAGGTCGCTCAGCGAGCTATGGAGAGGGCTATGCTCGGAGTTTCTCTGCGTGATAAACTTAGGAATGAGGATATCCGCAGTAGAACCAGAGTGACCAACATAGCCCAACGGATTAGTAAGCTGAAGTGGCAGTGGGCCGGCCATATAGCTCGAAGAAGCGACAACCGATGGGGAAGAAAGGTTCTCGAGTGGCAGCCTCGTACCGGTAGGCGAAGTGTAGGGCGTCCCCCCACGAGATGGAGTGACGACCTGGTAAGACATGCAGGAAGTCGATGGATGCAGGTGGCTCAGGACCGTGTTTTGTGGCATTCTTTGGGGGAGGCCTATGTTCAGCAGTGGACTTGTGAAGGGCTGTAATGATGATGATGATGATACTCCTTGTACGTGGATTTACATACTTACTCCGCTCGAGTCCAGTCTGGAAATGTTCGGATATTTTAAAAGATATTGATAATAATCTTAAAATAGCTTTAAATGCAACAGCCTGAATTCAAGATTTCTCACAACAATAGCAAACTGGTATTGCTGTTAGTGTGAGAAATCTTTCTAGCGTTGCGTTCCCTGCTTTCCTTGCTTCCATGCATACTGTTAGTGATTTACGTAACATATTTTTAAATAATAAAGTAGACCTGTGCTTTGCTACGGAGGTAGGGCAGACATGGCAAGCGCTCTGTCCCTGCGAAAATGTTCCACTGGAAGTTAACCAACAAATGCAGTGGGATATTACGTTGGTATAGAGGGTGCAGAAAGATTTGTTTCATAATTTTCATAGTGACTAAGATAAGGCACGCCTTCTAGATGTTTTGGAGAGTAACTACGAGTATATGCGTAGGACATGATTATAGTGCCCAGGTGTATGTATAAGCACAGGTTTAACCTCTATTCCCTCACTCTCATAGTCTGATGGGACGGCAATCCGACACGTTCGAAGGAACACCGCCAAATATCTGATTCCGGACTACTACCGAGAATTTCTATTGCAGAAAAGTGCAATTATTTTTGGCCCGAGCCGTGGTTCGAACTCGGGACAATATAATCTGCAGAAGTGCATATGTTCACAATAAAAACGAGGCTGTTGCAGTTAAATATAATCACATGCAATGTGAATCTGTTGTATTAATAATACAGGGCCGTAGAGTCCCTTTTTAATCCTAAATGAAGAGGTTAAGATCTTCGATTTTTTCAATCCTAACTAAATTATATCATATCCTAATTAAAAAATTTATCCCAAAATAATCGGTTTAAATTTACATGCTACAGATGGTTAACAAATCGAAAAAACAAAGAATCGGCGGGAAACGTGGGTTCCTTCGACCATTCACGACAGCCCATAAATAATAGAGTTTGCCTCTGACAGTTGCCAAATGAGTAGCGTCCTCCCTCTCTCTTGGCTCCTCTCAGTCGCACTCTGCTGTGTTTTGCGCGCCGTTTACACGTCCCACAAACTTTAAGTATTAAATTTTTAAACGACAATACTGTTTGAACTTTTCCCATTACGAAAAATACAATTTTTTTTTCAAGTTCAGTTCCAAATTTAAAAATGAGATTGTTATGAATTATTATCATTGTATCGTGCTCTCCTGGCCACAAATAAACATCGTCGAATTCGAAGCTTTCGAAACAAAAATCTTCATTTGTTTTATTTAGTGAGATTTGTGACAGAATGCAAAATGAAAATTGCCAGATATGAAATATCAATTAAGAAGAAGTATGAGTTGAGAAACTTACTATTGACAAATTAACAATCTGTGTACAAATTATGTAACATCGTCATAATTCTAGTGATAAACATAGGCCTCTTTTGAATGTTAAACGCGACAGTATCCTGATGGCAGAACGTGGACCGCGAACTCAAAAGGTCGTGGGGTCGAATCCGGCATTTAACTACTGTTATGAACTATCCCTAACACAATTATTTTGAAAATACCAGGAGAGGTTAAAGGAAATATTTGTAATGTTTTTTTTTATAGGATTGGTTGACAAACGAGCACACAGTCTGCCACCTGATGGTAAGTGGTTGCTGTGACCCATAGACATCCACATTTATCCTCAATAAAGAATCAAAATGCAGATGCGTTGTCACCCGTGAGGACTAAGATGGAATGCTTCTTTTCCAGTAAAATGGGTCTCCGGTTCTCAACACTCACCATACGAAACACATCAGTGTCACGCTGCCATTTTACGCTGGTATTCTGTGAGGCGTGGTCCTTCCCCGGTCGGGCCGACCCATTCTTGCTACAACTATACTACTAATATAGCTGCAGCATGGCTCTACCACGTAAAAAAATTTGTTTATATCATTATTTAAAAAAAATGCTACAAATTATGGTTCTGAACCACCGACATCCATAGAAATCCTGCAATGGATTGCAATTTTATTATATATAGGGATTACAATAATAGATTGTAACAATTATAATCACAATATAACTAACAATATTTAATAGAACCAAAGTAATTTGTGGTCGAGCATTGTTACGGCTATTATATGGTTGTATCACGAATGGGTCGGTCCGACAAAGGAAGAAACACGCTCTCACAGAATACCAGCTGTTCTTTAATAATTTAATGCTGAAAAACGTATTTTATACGTAAAATGTTTTATATGGTAAGTGTAGAGAACCAGAGACCCATTTTACTGGAAACGAGGCATTCCATCTTAGTCCTCAGAACAACGCATCTGCATTTGATTGTTAACCCACGATAGATTATGTGCCACAGTATCCACTTACTATCAGGTGGACTGTGTACTTGTTTGTCACCCTTATTCTATAAAAGAAAATATCCGAAAAATCCGTGCACGTCGCAGTAATCAATACTGGGTCGACCCGTTTGACGGATGATCCGCGATCTGTGCGACCCGTCCTGATTTCACCGCGTTCCAGTGATACGCCCCCACGGGATGAATTGATAAATGATGGTAGCAAGGCTGAGTGAATTTTGTAACATACCGAAAACCAAAAATATTTTTCACTCTATTGGGTAAAGCCAAAAGGTTTTGTGAGGGACTGTAAATTTTTTATATATAGAAATTTGCAGTCCAGTTTAAGCACAGTTCCAGTATTATTCAAATTCAACAATTAATAAAATTCAATAATTTTGACTTATAAATGTTTTTGAATAATTTTGATAACTTTGAACTGTCGCCGTTACTTTTAATCAAAGTAACGGCGACTTCAAAGAGCTAAGAAGAATAAAATAATTTTACACATAAGAGCTTCAGACGTCGGGGATAAGATAAAATAAGATAAGATAGACGTTAAAAGCCCCTAGTTAAGTAGATATTATATAGTAAATATTTTCTACTTTTTCAATCTTTGAAGTCGGCTTTACTCTTTATTAATCAAATTTTTGACCTTTTTGTGTGGACTAAGGAACATTGCTATTTTAATAATGTGTTTCATTAAATTGTAATAACAACAATAATAATAATTCAGTATATAACAAAAGATATTGCACGCTATTATCATGGTAGAATGTAAGGTCTCATTAATAATTAATTAAATCATAATATTATTTACTGCATTCAACCAGTAAAAAAAATTGAATTGACATAACGTCACAAGGTTCATATAAATAGTTAAATTAACGTTATCCTTACCATTGAACTTGGTAGAGCCACGCAGACCTGCAGTCGAATTGAGGACCTCCTCCTTTGTAGTAAAACTAACTCAGCTATGCGAGTTCAGATAAAATAAGTTAGTCTAATTTGCGGTGGACATTAGGCCGGTGAATGGGTCGGCTCGACTCGGGACCACGCTCTCACAGCGTAAAGTAACAGCTAAAAATTGCTGTTTCATATAGCGAGTGTAAAGAACCGGCGAAACTCTTTACTAAATACGAGGCATACCATCTTTGTCGTCAGGTGTAATGAATCTGCATTTTGATTCTTAATCGATGATAGATGTAGATGTCTATGGGCCACAACATTCACTTACCGTATCACAATTATCGTATCAAAGACTTAGTAACTCGTTTGTCATCTTTATTGTATAAAAAAGGCCTTTACGCTGAATTTGGCTCCAAGTTGGTATAATACACGGTTGGCTTGGCTCCAGGTTGGTAAACTAAAAAAAAGGTATGGCCATTACAGGTGTGGTTCCAGAACCGCCGGGCGAAGTGGAAGAAACGAAAGAAGAGCACCAACGTATTTCGGTCCCCTGGCTCCTTGTTGCCCTCTCACGGTCTACCGCCGTTCGGCGCGGGCGACGTCTGCAGCCCCGGTGTGTTCGCAGACCGACCCTGGTCTATGCCTTCTGGTAAGCAAATCTTGTTCTATATACGTATAAATAAAATTGAAATAATTAATAGAATCAGGCGTTACTTTGCGGAAATCCATTATATAAAAGCTTTTTGTTCGCGCAAAACTCTGTTGTCGGAATCGACACCAGATGTCACTCGGCTCGGCGCGATTCCGGTCTGAAGTTCTTCCGAGCGTGGCAGTGGCGCGCGGGTCGCAAGCGAGTCAGTCATCGGCCGGATGTGCTAATGTTTGCACGCTGTTAATTTTGTGCGGGAACCGCGGAATAGTTAGGGCGTCTAGTAAATATCCTGTCGAGGAATTATAACGCGCATTCCCTGTTTGGATAGCCTTTCCCGGGACTTATTGGGTCCGACTCAGAATCTGTATAAGTGCATTCGACAATATAAGCTAGTGCGGCCTCTGATTCTAGAATTAACTATTGCTACGCGAAACGGTAGTGACCTTTGACCCAGAAACTCCGGGCGTGTTTTGTGCGGTAACCTTATACCCCGCGATAGTTAGTGGCTTCTGTAAGCTAGTTAATAGTACGATAGAGTTAAGTGACTGTCATCGTGGTGAACCAAGAAAGTGACTGTGGATAACCTCGAAAGGCCCCCTCAAGTTGGAGCGGTGTCGACGCTCGGGCTGCTGCCGACGGCTAAGGTCTAGGTTCAATCACCATCAGTCACACCCAGATACACACCACATCACCATTCTTTCCCTTGCACTACACAACCACATGCGACCTGACCGACTCCGGAGGGCCCAGTCGCCTTGGATAGAGGTAAGTGCACTCCGCCAAATTCCTTCCGGTCGACTGGCCGTAGTATAACGCTCCCCCATATATTTAGTGTAATTAGAGAGATTCCACGTGGCCTTAGGAGGCCCGACCTACGTTTGCTCGGGAAGTCTTCTGCTGATGGGCCCCAGGGGATTGGATCCTTTAAGGGAGCAACCGTAGGCCGTAACAAACTGGTAGCAGAGCGCGATTCCGGGTTCGATTCCCGGTCGATCCCGACTATAGTGTTTGATAAACATTAAACAATTTTGGTGGCAGGGAGCGTTGGTGTGATTGGTTTAATTTGCATCTACAATCACGCCCGTCCGTAATACGTAAAAATATTTTTTTTGTACGTAATAATAGAATTATTTTCCTTTGTTGCTTTGTTGCTTGCCTTTTTTTGGTTAGAGGGTAATTTGAAAAGCCGCGCCCTAGGTTGTGCAAGCGGGAGATTTTCTAGAGATATACGTCATGTAGGTAGATGGTTATTTTTACGTAATCGGTTAATTATCGTTGTCGGAGAGTTGTAGTGGATTACTTATCGAAGGTTCGATTTCCGAGCTAGGCATTTTTTGTTGATCGACCGTGATGTGTATCTTCGTTTATACTGTAAGTTGTATTTGAACTAAATAGTAGTAATTTGTATTTGCGCAATTTGAATTTAACTTGATTCGATCGCACTAGTATTTGTTATTTGTTAATTTGATTTGTGTCTTTTTTGTGCTAACTTGTATTTGGTTGATACGTAGCAAGTAGTTCGTATTTGTGTAATTTCTATTCAACGCGATTTGATAGGAACTGCATTTATTAACTGTTAATTTTTTGTTGTATTTTTTATTTGTTATCTTTGTAAACTGTGCTCAAGCCGCGTCGTAATTTGCATTTAATAGTGATGACATCGCCCAAGCTACTGATCCGTTGTTTGCGGACTGAGCTACGCTGGGCCACAAGCGCCCATGCTTTGATAGGTCGACCGGATAGGGTCCATAACTTGATGAAGCAGTTCGAGCAGGTGGATGCTCGAAGGGCCGCAGTGGAGGAGGCTTACGCTGAACTCGAGGATTCGGATGTGGAGAAGGGAGTCCTGGACTCCTGCTTCGCGGACTATGAGCAGTTCTTGTGGCTCACGGACGAGTTGATCGAGGCTGAAGGCAGGTATGCCGAGGAGGCTCGTGAAGCTCGGATGAGTGACTTGTCCGAGTCCTCTCTGAAGCGGCTTCAGCCGGAGCTGTTGGGACGACTCCCAACTCTGGACCTGCCAAAGTTCTCCGGGGTCCTTTCCGAATGGCTGACCTTCGTTGGTCTTTTCGACAGCCTAGTGGACTCCCGGAGTGACTTGACCCCGAGCCAAAAGATGGTGTACCTCCTGGCCTCACTGGAGGGGGAGGCCCTGGGCGTCGTCGGCCACTTGAGATTGTCGGACGACGCCTACCAGACTGCTCGGGACCTCCTAGCCATAAGATACGCCAACGTCCGGCGAATTGCGGACGAACATGTTAAGCAGCTTCTAAGCCTCCCGCTGCTTAGTGACCGGGCCAGACTGCGTCCGGACCTGTTGGATCTAGTCTTGGTGGCCTGTAATACTTTGAGGCGGCTGGGTTTACCAGTGGGCGAATGGGCTTTTTTGTTGCTCCGCATCGTGCTGTCCCGTCTACCTCTCGACCTGCGAATCCATTTTGAGGAGAGGTACGGCGGGGACGAGGCCTCCTATATTCCGCCCTTCTATGACCTGCTGCGGTTTTTGGAGGAGCAGTGCCGGCAGATCGAGAACGCGGCGGGCACCGTTGACGACTTGCGAGACGTGCCCAGTGAGAGGCTGAACCCGCCAGGCAAGTCGTCGTCAACCCCCCCCTGCTCCTATTGTCGAGCATCTGATCACCGGGTAACGTCGTGCCCGAAATTATTAGGTAAGCCGGTTCCAGCGAGGCGAACTATCGCCAAGGAGCGCCGCTGGTGCTGGTCATGTCTGGGAGGGCACCTCCAGCGAGACTGTCCGCATCGACGGCCCTGTCTGCATTGCCAGGGCAATCACCATGCCGTTTTGTGCCTGGGTGCGAACGGCATCTCCTCTCGGGGCTCTGCCAGGCCCTCGACCCCCACGGGCGGGGGCGCTCAGCCACGCCCTCTGCAGGGTGACTCTCGGCGCCCGCCGTCCAGCCACCAGGCCCCTAAGTTTGAAAGGAGTCCCTCCCCCGACCAGTCGGGGGGTAATTCCCCCAGGGGCGGAGGTGTCATCACCCCCCCTCAGCGTGTGGAGAGGAACTTCACGGCCACTCATCGGTCCGCTGGACCCTTCTCACTTCCGTTAGCTGAGTGGCCGCGACTGGTGTACCACTGTTCCCCATTTGATGGAGGCGGCCCTGTCTAGCTGCTGCCTTAGTTCCCACCACGGCCGCCTCCACTGAGCCTTAAGCCGTCAACAGTCCACTTGTCAAAATGTTCTGTTGCCGACGGCCTCAGTGAAGGCGTACAACCCGAGTGGCAACTGTTAAAGGTTGTGCTCTATTTATCTCGGGTTCACGCCATGTGGCCTCCCCTGGGTGGTAAGAAGATTAGGGCCCCCCTGTAGCGTTGAATCACGCTGTCAAGGGGTATTAGATTTGGTTTGGTCGAGCACTTAGTCAAAAAAAAAATACTTGAATTAAAATTAAAAATTGCTTTGGGCTTTCCGCGAAATTCTCCTATTTGTAGCGGTTTAAATTAAAAGAATTGAATTTAATCTACTCCTTTAAATGCTACTGCATGTGTTTTGTACATATATTTAATCACTGTATTTGATTGTTGCGTTTGTTTGCTGAAAGGAAAATTTGAATTCATCTGAAATGGAATGGCGCACTATTTGAAAAATTATGTTTATGTTTATGATAGTGTTTAATCATTTTTGTTTTCTAAGAAGTAGGGCTGTCCCTTACGTTATTGTTTTGTTTAATTTGCAAGTTGACCTATGCGCATCGGTGATTAATTTGGTTGAATTAATTCTGTAGTTGAACATTGATGCTTTTGAAAAATTAGTTGAAATATGAGCATAGGACTACTTGTCTAACAGGCTAGCTAGTTTTGGAGATTATCAGATTGAAATCAGCTGCCGCACTATTTTAGTAAATGATAATATGGTGGGTGGCCTGGCTAGGCCTACTTGTTGAAAATTCATACTAGGGACTATCTGTGCGTTTCGTTTGGCTCTCCACAGACGACGTTCATGTGGAATTTGTGGGTGCGCTCTGCACTGAAGCAACTGTTGGCACAAAATTTGTCTGGGCAGCTTCGTGTAGCGTCGCTGTTGGCAGAGCTGATCCGGTCGGATTGCGGAACTACTCATAGGGGCACAGATAGGTGTTTGAAAGAGGTCGTCGGACTTCTGTCCAGTACAGGACTTATTAAAGTGCTGCGATGCCCAGGAGGGGCATCCAGTGGAGGCTGACCCTCCGGCTTGCCACATTAGGGATATCTTTGAGGCGTTGATTAGGGTTGCAAGACCTAATGGATTGCCTAAGGTGGCCTAGTTTGGTTGTAGATTCGGTCTTGCAACTTGCAGTCTCGACTTTGTCCCGCTGACCGGTTTGCTCGCGGACCTAAATCCTTATGTCCGGGACGGGGGTTTGTTCGCGCAAAACTCTGTTGTCGGAATCGACACCAGATGTCACTCGGCTCGGCGCGATTCCGGTCTGAAGTTCTTCCGAGCGTGGCAGTGGCGCGCGGGTCGCAAGCGAGTCAGTCATCGGCCGGATGTGCTAATGTTTGCACGCTGTTAATTTTGTGCGGGAACCGCGGAATAGTTAGGGCGTCTAGTAAATATCCTGTCGAGGAATTATAACGCGCATTCCCTGTTTGGATAGCCTTTCCCGGGACTTATTGGGTCCGACTCAGAATCTGTATAAGTGCATTCGACAATATAAGCTAGTGCGGCCTCTGATTCTAGAATTAACTATTGCTACGCGAAACGGTAGTGACCTTTGACCCAGAAACTCCGGGCGTGTTTTGTGCGGTAACCTTATACCCCGCGATAGTTAGTGGCTTCTGTAAGCTAGTTAATAGTACGATAGAGTTAAGTGACTGTCATCGTGGTGAACCAAGAAAGTGACTGTGGATAACCTCGAAAGGCCCCCTCAAGTTGGAGCGGTGTCGACGCTCGGGCTGCTGCCGACGGCTAAGGTCTAGGTTCAATCACCATCAGTCACACCCAGATACACACCACATCACCATTCTTTCCCTTGCACTACACAACCACATGCGACCTGACCGACTCCGGAGGGACCAGTCGCCTTGGATAGAGGTAAGTGCACTCCGCCAAATTCCTTCCGGTCGACTGGCCGTAGTATAACGCTCCCCCGTATATTTAGTGTAATTAGAGAGATTCCACGTGGCCTTAGGAGGCCCGACCTACGTTTGCTCGGGAAGTCTTCTGCTGATGGGCCCCGGGGGATTGGATCCTTTAAGGGAGCAACCGTAGGCCGTAACACTTTTAGAAAAATTTACTTCGCACTTAGCGGTTAGCCACCGTAAAGTCTATATCACCTGAGGATGCCTCGTGTAGAGGCGAAACACGTGTCGTATTATCGTCAGTGGTGTGTCTTGCCTAGTGTAGTGGTGTTGGGAGTAGCGGTGCTGGGATTAGTGGTGTCGGGGATAGTGAACGCAATTGAGCGAGGGCGGGAGGTGCTCTTCATACTAGGTAAGACATCATTTTATTTTATAACGCGGATATTTGCGAAGTAAATTTTTCTAAAAGCTTTTATAAAATTGAAATTTCTGTCTGTAATATTGATAACTGCCTTATATTGAACTGAGCTGGGTTATTCACATGATGAATAACAATTTTTGATGTGAAAACTTCTTTAGAATCGGAGTGATTTAAAACTCGATGAAACGAAAAAGCGACAGTAAACAGAGACAAACGTATACATCTAATAGAAGTTAGGCCTGCGAGAGAAAGTGAGAGAATATTATATTAAATTCTTTTGATTTTTTACACTAAAATTTAGGATCTACATGTTTAAAAATAAGGATTGTAATAGAATAGAATACAATAGAGTAATTTATATTTAATATTGATTATTACATAATACTTATTGAAAGTCATTTTTATCAACCACGGGTTCGGATAATACCTCTGTCCTGGGAAGAACCAGCAAGGGTTTCTTGCGGGACTTTTTTTTCAAACATATTTCACTTAACAATAATTTCGTTTATACAATTTTTAAATGATTTTTTTTATAGAACCAGCATGGTGGCGATCACCTTATTCCCAGGGGTTATTTTTAACATTTATTGGGTATAAAATTAAACCATTATCTTATGTTTTAAGCCGCACTTGTGGTTGAAAATTATCAGAATTAATAAACAGTGAAATATTTTTATTTTATATTTCATTAAATTTGAAGGTATATGAATATTAAAGAAAAACATGTGTAATGTTTTTCTAAATATTTGTCAGTCATAATGGCTAAACCAAATTGTAAAGAAACTTTACGTACAAATAGAGAACAATGTCAGGAGTGATTGGGATAGCCTAAATCTAGATCTACATTTTTGCGATAAATTGATAAAATATCTTCCCGTTTTTGTCCGATCTTTGATTATCTTTAAAACTCAATCCTTCTAGCATCGTGCTATTGCTCTCCAGCACTTTGTGAAGTTTCGTTACAATCGGTTCGGCCATTCCGAACATTTTCCTGGACCAACTTACAGACAAAAATTTTTAAAAATAGTTATTAATGTTTTATTAGCACGCAAATACCGTCTCAACTAAATATAATGCAGTTATTTTGATATTACAGACAAACACTTTAATTTTATTTATAAGTATAGATGATAAGTTTTTTTTTATTAATTTATCGCCTTTACGAAAATACCAGCGTGAAAAATATAATATTAATAATAATAATTAATAATATTTTGAGTCAAGAGTGTGTGAATGAAATGCATGTCCTGCATATAATAGTAAGTGTCTGATTTTTATCACAGGCCTTGGTCAACTCTCGCAAGGGGGTGTATCTATGGGCGGGTTCAGTGCGGGTGGACTGCCGCAGCTTGCAGCCGATTTGAACCCTGCACTGCCCATTAGTTCCATGGCCTCCCAGCAGTATCAGTCGCATTACCCGCTCAACTCTTTAGGTGAGTTCTTTTTTTTTTAAATACATATCTAGAGGTAGATATCCACATAAATTTCACAAGTACAAAAATATAGATCCGAACAGTTATTTGTTGGCCATACAAATTGAATAGGGATGCACTGCAACTTGTTGCTAAGCCACTGCGCCACGGAGCCTTCAATTGTTAAGGAGGACGATTTAATATTCATCATCATCACTATCAGTATAAAAGCGCTGTAAGAATATCCACTACCCCGACAGACGCGACAGAGGGAAACTGAAACAGGACATGGGCAGCAGCATCTTCCTGATAATAACTCAAAATTATAACAAAAACTGCGGTTGTCGTCATACCATACAATAGTGCGTTTTCCTTTCGAACAATTTGATAATAAAAAAAGTAGTAGGTAATAAAGTTAATAATATTATAAAACGGCACCGAAAACAAACGCACGAAGGCAAGTAGCGTAATATGAGTAACTATTTTTATAATTATCAGAAAAAAAAAGCCAAAGTTTGTATTGTCTATTTACGGTAAAAAATTGCAGCCCTAAATGATGTGTTGGGCCGCGATTTTGTGACGCTGAAACTGTCGTCTGTTGTCATTTCGTGGGCATAGACTACGTTCTCCTGTGTTTCTTCTTTTGATCCAACCCCTTTAATTGACTATTCCTACTTATTATACTGACATTGGCGCTAAATTGGACTTTGTTCTAGTTCTACCTTTTTTTGGTACATATTAATGTCGAAACGATGAAAAGTGAAACCCATGAGCTAATCAAGCTTCAAGATTACTTTGAGCGTGAAAAGCAAAATGGTGGATCCTTGACACCTATCGAACAGGTACAAGATCGCGTTTCGCAAGTGCTTAGAGTTAGCAAACGAACGATAACAAATATTAATAAAGAAAAGTTCGGGTGAACTTTCATGGAAGAAAATATTTTACGAACTCCAAAGAAGAAATTCAGAACAAAATCTGTGACAGATATTGATACCTTTGACGCGGATGCAATAAGGAATCATATATTATATGGTGATTATTGGAGGAATGAATACATTAACAGGACCAAACTTTTGGCATCTTTGAAAGCACCTAATTTGCTTAAGGGAGGTAAAATTTTATTATTTAAAATTTTAAAAGATATTGGGTTTCAATATTAAAAAATAAACAAAAGAAAAGTCATTTTATAACGGTATGCTATCATTTAAAACGAATAACATTTTTAAGAGAAGCAAAAAAAAAATCGATAACTGTGGTAGAGCCACGCGGCAGCTTTTGTTGTCGCACGGATGGGCCGGCTCGAACCGGGGTAGTACCACGACCTCACAGAAAACCAGCGTGAAGTAGAAGTTTACCTCTGCGTTTCGCTTGGTGAGTGCAGGTGGCCGGAGGCCTTTTTTACTGGAAATGAGGCATTCCATCTTAGTCCTCACGGGTGAATCACAACGCATCTACATTTTGATTTGTAACAGAGGATAGATGTAGATGTCTATGGGCCGTAGCAACCACTTACCATCAGGTGGACTGTGTGCTCGTTTGTCACCCTTATCCTATAAAAAAAAAACTGGGATAGCGTTGTATTCATTGACGAGACATAGCTAAACACCAGTCACACGCTTTCCCGTTCTTGGACAGATGATACACAAGCATCTACGTCGAATGTACTAATGGATTATAATTTATAAGGTTATAATATGCCACGTCGGTTCAGCAAAATATGGTTTCGTAGAGAACGGCTTACTGACTTTTGAATCAAAAAACACTACTGACTACCACGAAGAAGTTAAAGCCGCCACATATAAAGAGTGGATCTAGAATATGCTAATGACTGGCCAGCCAGAGCCTTAATTAATATTTGAATAATGCCTCTTATTATTCGGTGCAAGTACAGAAAGCACCTACTCAAGCCAATAGAAAAGAAGAATTGGTGGCTTGGCTATAAACCAACGGCATTGACGCAAATATGCAAATCGTAAAAGCAAAACTAATCAAATTAGTTAAAGACAACAATTCAATAAAAGTGCGTTATGAAATAGATGAATTGACACTGGAATACGATCCTACCATTGCCAGTACAATAGCTAATCTGGGCTAAAGTAAAAGGTTGCGTAGCTCACCTCAACACTTCCCCACCATTAGGCACAAAAAGATAATGAGCATATTAAAAGAAGCCTGCGAAAAGAGTCACAAAAGATGACTGGGCGAAGGTCGTCGAAAACACGAAAAATATTATTTTCGAAAAATTTGACAGAGATATCAAAATTGATAATAATATAATTATAAATGTAGTCGTAGATGACGACGAATACAGCACCTCCTCAAGCGAATCGCAATCGAATTAAATTTGTTTGTTTGCCAGTCGAAATTCTTTTTCAAGATGTTGTTATATTTTTTAGTAAATAATATTAATATATTATTAGAATCCAGACAACCATGTAAATAATGAAACTTAGGTTAATTTTTTAATGGGTCAGTTAAAAAGCAAATAATAGTGTTAATTATTACCCATTACCAGTCATGACCAACTGACAGACATCAAGATTGCGTTCTGTCATTGGCCACTCTATATATTTTAGTTTAGTTTAGTTTAATGTTGTTAAACATGTGACTTTTCAGGCGAATCCATGATGTCATACTGCGGTGGGTCCGGCGCACTTGACGGCTCACCCGCCTCGCCGCACGCTCACTGCAACACTGCCTCGCCCACTGCACCCGGTTAGTACACACATACACACACACAAACACACACACACACACACACACACACACACACACACACACACACACACACTATCGTACACACGTACACATGATCTTGCACACATGGACACGATCGTACATATACGCAATACGGATGCACACGTGCACATGTACACATATACATATACACGTACATATACGCACACATGTATCTACACATACGTGTACACCTACGCACTTGCCAACATGTATACACGATCACACATAATATGTACACATGATCGCCTCTAAGTGCCTCTTTGATCTAGTGGTTGTAAATGCGACTGATGATCTTGAGGACCCGGGTTCGAAATCCGGGTCGGGTCAAAATAGTTTTTGGATTTTTATGATACGAAATTCTCAGTAGCAGCCCAGAGTCAGGAAGTTGACGGTGTTCCACCTCGTGCCTCGGGAAGCATGTAAAGTCGTTGGTTCTGAATTTGATCTCTCTACGGTACTTTCCGTGACACGGTGGTGGAACACCGGCAACTTCCTGATTGCGAGTAAACCATATGACACGGCACGGTTGGTTGCAGGCGGCGGGGGAGCGGGCGGCGGCGGGGGCGGCGGCGGCGGGGAGGGGTGCGAGGAGGAGGCGTGGCGCGGGCACAGCATCGCCGCGCTGCGCCGCCGCGCGTCCGAGCTGTCGGCCGCCATCCCGCCCTACCTGCAGCTCAACTACGACCACGCGCACAGCCCCGTCTACTGACCGCCTCCTCTCGCCACACGCATCGTGCAACACCATCACAACTGAACTAATTAACGCTAAAGCTTACGCTCACCAGTCGCTAGTTGGAACTTCAGTCATCACAAGTAAATCAATGAGAGCTAAATTTTACACTCACCAGATGTCGCTAGTTGGGACTTAGGTAAACTTATTTCTTACACAATCACGTGTACTGTACACAGTGTCATCTTCATTGAAAAAAAACTCGGTTACTAGTGTATATACATTTCACGTGTATGTACAAAACAATGCCTCGGTGCTTTTACATATGTTTTTTTTTAATTTTTCTAATTGTAGTAATACCCATTTGGTTTATCCATTTCTAATTTTTTTTTAAATATACTTAACTAATATTACAGAAACAAACATTATCCACTACTCTTTTAACAAATTACATTCCCTAGCTACGAAATTTGTCAAATATTTCAACTGACTCACATAAGTAACGCCGCTCTGATGGCAAAAAAGTCGTGGATACCCTCATTGCATTCATCGAACGCCATGTGGTCCACCATCACAATCACCCAATTTCGGCAATCACATCACACACGGTACGAAATGTGGTAATAGATCCTCTTATGGCGACATCACACGTCAAAAGTCGATATTATAACTAATTTGCCAGGTCAACTATCGATAACGTAACTATTAATAGACAACATCACTATACAATTTTACATTACGTAATAGAAAGTACTTGATTGTGGAAATTAAAGTCGCTTTGGGTTACCAAAACGATTAACAGTTCTATCGTACTTATCACAATGAAGGAAAACAAATAGATAAAAAATATTTCTTAATATAATAACCAGGCATGAATACGCGGTAATTCAAATACTTGTCTCATACAACCCTATGGAATAAATTGAGTTGTCGGATCTAGTTAATAGTTGCCAACCCTAATCAATGAGAAAATACTGCAACCATACTACTAATATTATATAGAACTACTGGCTACCATTTTATTTACAAAAAGCTTCAAACATTACAAAGCCTAGAATCTGTGATGTGCGTTTTAATAAAGTTTTTGTATCTACGAGACAAAATACATAATGTCGCATAATTTTGAAAATTAGCAAAATTTAAAATTGATCGCCATGACCTTGACACAGGTTACACGAAGTATGGTAACCATGATAAAACTGCAGTCTCCGGACTTTATTATAATAAATTAAAGTATAAATATTGAGCTGTATTCAAAGAAATACGTGTATACGCATTCGTACAATAATAATTTTAGTGATAGTTTGTAATCGTAAGCTATGTATTTTTAAGAATCTAATATTTAATATTATAGATTAGATGTAAACTTCGATGTAATGGCGCTATTTTGTGGTTTGAGGTTATAATCCCTTAGGTAAAATTTGAAACATTCCTAACTCGTCTATTAGAATAAAATGATGTTCTAAGAGGAACTCCAACCAAAAGTGTAAATTATGTATGTTTTATATTTTTAAAAAATGTATTCAATTCGTATATCTGAATAAAATTCTTGGAAGAACACGTTTTTTGTATTAAGAGAAGTAAATTGTATTGTAATTGCGATAGTTGACACTTGATGAAACTTGAGCTTCATTCTTGTGATTTGGATACTTGTACTTCTTTCGCAATATTTATTTATCTGACTAATTTACGAACTATAACAACCACGGGTTTCGCCTTACACGTCATGTCTCAGGTTACTCTCATATACCCTGTCATGCCGTGGCCCGAAATATTCAAATAAATATTACGAAACAAGTACAAGTACGTATCCAAATCACAGATAGAAGTAAATTGATTTGTTTTATGTAATTGTATCTACATGAAAAAAAATTTCGATAATAATATCATTTTTAATTATTTCAAACCTAAGTTTTCAATTAACACTGTTTTATATTTTTATTTGTGGTCTGTAGGGTGAATCATTTTTATAGTGAATCAAAATGATTATTGTTCCAACGTAATAAAATAAAATGCTAAAAACTTTCTTCATTTATTTTTCAATATATTTAAATCCTCTATATGGAAAAAAAACGGATTGCATTCATTAATCAGTAAAAAAAAAGCACGAAAAAAATTTTGGAGACCCTAATTTTGAAAACTCTGTTTAATACTATATGTAAGACTTTAAGTGTTAATATTTAATATATTTTTATTGGTGTTTATTAATTTGTATATTTATAGACCACTTACTAAAATATGTTTTTTACTTTATTTTATTGATATAATTTTGGAAATGATTTGTGTTTTCAAAAGAAAATATTAGCAAACAATTATTTAATGGAATTTTTGTTAATTCGCTGTAATTTGGATCACCTGCGTCTGTAGTTCAAAAGAAAAGTATTGTCTACGTGTACCTATAAATTATTGCAAGTCAAGTTATAATGCCAACTTACTAATTAAATGATAAATTTAATATCAATAGTTACAGGATTAATTAAATTAAAGGAGTTTTTGTATAATTTTGATGATTTAAAAGTGTCAAGTTCTTTTCTTTGCCAATCATAATTATTTGACGAAAATCTCCGTTGTAAAACTTCTTAAGGTTGTTTTCTTTGGATGTCACATAATTATGTTAACGACAAACTTCGTTATAACAACTTCTAACGGTATTTTTCATTACCACACAATCATGTCCTCGAATAATTGCGACGTCGTTACTACTTACGGTTCTTTTCTTTGGATATACAAAATTATGTTAACGAAAAGTTTCATTGTGACTAGTATTTACGGTTCTTTTCTTTGGATATACAAACTTATGTTGATGCAAAGTTTCATTGTGACTACTACTTACGGTTCTTTTCTTTGGATATACAAAATTATGCTGACGTAAAGTTTCATTGTTACTAATACTAACGGTTCTTTAATTTTTATATACAAAATTATGCTGACGTAAAGTTTTATTGTGACTAGTACTTACGGCTCTTTTCTTTGGATATACAAAATTATGCTGACGTAAAGTTTCATTGTGACTAGTACTTACGGCTCTTTTCTTTGGATATACAAAATTATGCTGACGTAAAGTTTTATTGTAACTAGTACTTACGGCTCTTTTCTTTGGATATACAAAATTATGCTGACGTAAAGTTTCATCGTGACTAGTATTTACGGCTCTTTTCTTTGGATATACAAAATTATGCTGACGTAAAGTTTTATTGTGACTAGTACTTACGCTTTTTTGCTTTGGATATACAAAATTATGCTGATGTAAAGTTTCATTGTGACTAGTACTTACGGTTCTTTTCATTGGATGGCACATAATTATGCTGACGAGGCCAATGATTTCCACTCTATTCCTTTTTTGAAAATAAAAGTGAAGAAACCTGAACATAGAAATGACTTGCCTGAACAATAATTATGAAATTAAATGAATAGGTTATTCTTTAATAGAATTCTGTACAGATTCGTATACGATTGAACGATCGATATGAGTTGAAAAATGTAGATGAAACGATATGTTGCATAAATGTACGTTATTTTATTTTGTGTTCTTGGGAAACTTGCGGCCACTGCGTTTATAATTATTGTAATATTAGTTAAAAGTGGTTGATAGTTCCTATTTGTTTCTGGGTTCCGTGGAATGTTTTCAATTATTTGTGTCTTACATATACCTCATTAATTTTCTGAGAAAGAGTTCAAATTGTATGACAAAATATGTATTTTCTATTTTTATTATTTATATGGTTGTATTTGTTGTATGTGTACAATAAAACGTCACACATTATTATCTTTTATTTTTCCTATGTCTTTACAACTGCCCTACTAGAAGAAATTTCATTATGAAATTAAGTTGTTTGTGTGTAAATAAATTGTTAAAAAAATTATGTAAAGCTCCATACTCCTTTGAATGTAAAGCAATCAGCCTCGGAACCCAAGTCGTAATATAATCTCATTAAAATAGTGCACTAAGAATTAACATACAATGAAAGACCAAAGCTATGTTTTATTTTGATTGCGGCTTATATTGTCATTTAAATGAGATTATTGAATTTGTAATAGTTGTGTTTTGCACTTCCTTTGATTTGTATGTATGTATGTATATTCTTTTTTGCTTTAATTATGGTTTTGCGAAATAAATTAAAACGTCATATTTTTTTAAACTCAACTTTGATGTTTAGATCAAATGAGTTAATACAAAATTATTTTTACCTAGATATTCCATTTATATCAGTAACAATGTACGAGTAACTATCAATAATATTGTTTGTATCTATACGAAGAGCGGTCGCTTTATATTAAATATTTATAACTATTTAGGTTTTCTAAACTTTAAGCCACAATTGTATACTGAGTAATGGACTGAGTGACGGCTAGAGCCGAACTGAACTACTGTTCGACGCTCGCCCTGTACTTGTATAGCCTACGTGTAGCTAGTGTATACATTAATTTAGACTCTAAGTATTAATATATACATACATTAAAATAGACAATGTTCACATTGCGTTTCATTTGTATATATCCCCATCCCTCTGTTTCCATCAACCTTTTAAGTACGCGCTTTTGATACCACCACACGTTCAACCGATACTGTCGCTGACGAAGGGGAAGAAATAAGATTTATTTATTTATTTATAAAGACACACAAACATAGTAGATTAGAAAAATAATAAATTTTCAGATATTATAAATATAACAGGTGAACACAGCATTTGTGAATGCACAATAATTAAAAACAAAAAGTAAAGGAAACATAAAAACATTTAAAATACCAATAAAGAACATAGATCAAAGGTGTGAAACTTGTGATACTCCAAATGTGGGTATAAATTTATCTGATTGATATCCATTTACAGTTATATATTTATATCTGTTAGTTACATATAGCTTAAACAAACTATAAGAGGTCGTTTTAAAACAAACCATTCTAATTCGAAATTAACTATGGTCAACTTTATCGAACGCTTTTCAAAAGCCTGTATAAATTGAAATATTTTCATATTCTTTTTATGATACACATTACAGTCACTGTGTTACCTATGTGAAACTTTCAGAGCGGACAG